TAGCGCTGAAACAAACGATCCGTTCCGAAAGAGCTCTAGACGGCAAGAGCGAATTGTCACCAGGTTCGTGGAATTTCACACCCCTCAAAACGCGTTCCAACACCACTCACTGTCTTGAATAACCGTTGATGTCGCAGTAAAACTGCTTACAGAATGAGCACAACGCTGGCACACTCCAGGCAACTATGTCTCATAGCACTGTGGAGGCCGATCGTAGTCAACGAGACATGCTTGATACATGATTGTGGCACTTTCCAATCACATCGCGAACAACAACAAGCATTTGGCCAATGCTTGAGTCAACAGAGCAAGCAGAACTAAAATGGATATATGAACAGCACCACTCGCTCCATATGCTTCGGTATCGCTCGAGCACATCGGCCTTGGTCAATCTTCTTTACCCTCAGCATTCAATAGTTAGAGTTTCTCCGACCAAAATACAAAGCTCTACCTTCAGCATGGCTCCGAAAAAGAAAGCGACGGCGAAGCCTGAAGACCTACTCCAGCCAGAACAGCTAAGACTAATCGAAGATCACATGGACGATGACCCATGCATCTTGTGTGGAGAGCGGCACTCCGAGAAGGATGGCAAAGCGCACGCTTGGCTTTGCCCGAAAATAAACACCCCAGTATCGTCTATGGCCTGGATCAACAAAAACATCACGCCTCAGAAAAGTGTCGCTTACGCGAAAGGTTACATCAAAGTACTACAACAGCGCGGTAGCATTCCCTCACGTACTTCCGAACAGCCCATTGCTCCCCCAGAGCAGGAGGCACCGGCCGACCAGGTTCCAGACTCCTCCGAGCCGGCAGAAGAGCAAAAGGGACAAACCCAAGCCCCGACACAAGCCGCGCAAACCGAACCCGACGTTACCGAGGAAGAGAAAAACGAGGCACTTCAGGCAGTTGATCAGAAGGAGGAAGCTCTGAAAAGGGGCGAGTCAAGAATACTGTCGCAATATCCTCCGCAGAAAGGCTCCTGTGGTACTATCACTGATGCTGTCAAGACTAAGGTCACGACGATCTTCTTCAAGATTGGCATCGATGAGAAGACGATCTTCTACGAATACCAAATCCTTGATCTTCCTGTAGGACAGAACAAAAAGAAGCTGGAAAAGCTCGTTCGTACCATGATCGACAGTGTGGACGTTTTGCGTAAAAACAAAGATTCTCTCGCTACGGACAACATATCCACTATCATCTCCTGGAAGAAACTGCATGATAAAAAAGACGACGAGAGATTTACTGGCCCTCACAAGATACCGGACGGACGTCGCGACGGCACTAACGTAGAACGCGAGCTTAAGTTGAAGCTTCTTCGTGAACTCGACTTCAGCAAGCTGCGCGAGTATGTTGGCGGTCACATGGACAAGCCTCATCTCTGGGACTCCAGCGTCGAGGTCAAAGCCCTGAATATTCTAATATCAAAGAGCTTGAACACTGACGAGGTCATACGCATCGGCGCAAACAAGTTCTTCGTCACTGGCAGAAAACAGTATCTCTCACCATCTCTTATGACAATGCAAGGATATTTCTACACCATCAAGCCTCTCCAAGCTGGCATCGTTCTCAATGTCAACTATGGAACCAGTGCTTTCTATCGCTCCCAGACTGTCGACGAGTTCCTCAAAGATACCGAGACCTTTTCCAACGAGAGGACTAGGTGGGCGGCACTCAATGCTCTACGAGTCGAGATTAGATACGGCCGCGGAAAGGACCCGAAAGATCGTCAACGAGACTGGAACGATGTCTCAGGACGAGAAAAGACTGTCTCGGGTACAAGTAGAGAGACTCCCCTCAAAGATCTTAAGTTCGATAAGAAGATGCCCGACGGAAGTACGAAGAAAAAAGAAGTACTGAAGTACTTGAAAGAGGGTAAGCTATACCTTTCTACTATTTTGACGGTGTGTTAACCACGTTAGCCTACCCCAAAGAGTTCAAAGACGAAACAGGCGCCCTTCCCGGTATCAATCTTGGTATTCCAAGCGACAAAGAGTGGTTTGCTGCTGGTAAACTTCAGATTCTTCGCCACCAGATCTATCGTCGCCCTGTCCCTGACCACCTTACCGACACTATGCTGAAGCGAGCGGCCCTGACACCTAAAGAGGGCGTTCCACTGATCGATAACGTCTTTGACTTTCTCAAGATCAAGCAAGCTCTTGGTTCAGACAGCGTGACATTAGTAAGTCAAGAACTAATACGTCCTGCTATCCCGACTAACCTTATCCTAGGCTGATTGTCAACCCCTTACCATCGTTCCCAAACTTCTGAACATCGACAGCACCACTATGCGTTATCCTTCCATCATATACGGTGCTAATAAGAAGAAAGATCTCTACATCGAACACGTGGGCAAAGGCAAATCTGGCGAAACACCCCGTTGGACATTAAAGGATTGCGAATTTCTCGAGTCCGGCCCTACGGTCAGTGCTGGTGTTCAGGTGTATCTGCTTACCACATCAGAGACCATTACTCTCCAAGCAACTTTGAAAGAGGTACTGCAACGGTACAATATTGGCGGCAACAACAAGGACAGCAAGTTTTTGGTAACACGACGAGACTTGCTGAACTTCGAATTTGACCAGCTACATCAAGCTCTCCGGTACGTCAAGGAGACATTCAACGAGGGACGCAAGAAGATCGTTGTTCTCTTGCTCCCAAAGCCAGACAGACAGGCCTATCAGTTCTTCAAGGATCTAGCGGACCGCGAATTTGGACTCCACGCGGTGTGCATCACTGAACCCAAAGTCTTCGCAGATGCTGCAAAGGTTGAACAATACCTCGGCAACGTCATGATGAAGGTCAACCTGAAATGCGAAGGCATCAACCACTCAGCTGGTGATAGCGTGGCACACTTCGAGCAGTCGCTTCAACATCGACTCAAGGATACCATGCTTCTTGGTGCCGACGTCACACATCCATCGCTAGTCTCCATCGATGGTTGCCCTTCCATTGCCGCGCTTGTTGGGTCCGTGGACGATTTTGGTGGCAAGTTCCTTGGATCCATGCGCCTCCAAAACCCGGATAGGACAGACCGCGAGGTAAGCAAAAGAGACCTTCACCAACTCGCATCGCTTTCGCTAACCCTGACAGATCATTCAAGAGGTCGAATCGATGACAGTGGAGCGTCTACGAGCCTACTACGACTACCCTATAAAGCCCAAGAACGCCCCTACACCCAAACCACGACTGAAGCTACCTACAAGGATGATTTACTACCGAGACGGAGTGAGCGAAGGTCAATTCGGCAAGGTCGTTGAGCAAGAAGTGCGCGCCATCAAGAGCGCTTTCGAGAGAGTCAAGAAAGAGAAGAAGTGGAAAGGGGACTTGAAACTCACCTCGATTGTCGTTACCAAACGTCACCACACACGCTTCTATCCTACGAAAGAAGAAGACAAGGAAGGCAAAGGTGGAAACTGCAAGCCAGGCACCGTCATCGACACATCAGTTACATCTCCGTACTTCAAAGAGTTCTTCCTCCAGTCTCACAGCGGCCTACAAGGAACCACGAAACCAGCGCACTACTTCGTCGTCCAAGACGATGCCGATTGGGACGTGGCAGAACTGGCTACTTTCGTAAGTTATCAACTGCACACCCATATATCTTCACAAGAATCGCTACTAACGCACACCAGACCCACCAACTCTCATACACTTACGTCCGCGCCAGCTGCGGCGTCTCCTACGCTCCACCCGCATACTACGCCGACCGCCTCTGCGAACGCGGCAGAATCTACCTGCGCTCCTTCCTCAACGGCGACACCGACGTAGCTGAAGAGCTCAAGAAGAAGAAGACTGATCTGGAGGACCACCAACGCAAGATCAGAAAGTCGATATACAAGCCAATCAAGGAACAGACCAAGACGGCTACCGGAGTCTGGCCAGCAAAGACTAGGGGAGAAGAAATCATGGAGCTGTTGCACAAGGATGAAGTTGCGAAAGAGTGTAAGAAATGGGCATTGGAGGAGGCAGCGAAGGTTTGGGGGAAATGGACTGGGACGGATGCGGAGCGGAAGAATCCTTGGAATAAGGCGCTGGACAACACTATGTTTTGGATGTAGGTGGTTGCCAGGCGGCACCTCAGTGGCACTTTCGGATGGTACTGACGCGATGGCGGGGTTAGGCTGGCCGTTTTTTCCGTTGTATTGCGTTTGCTTTACTTTTTTTTGTCCTGCGTCTTCGCTTCGTACACTCCTTACAATAGACTAGATTGGTTTGCATCAACATTACTCTCGTATCGTCATGTCATTGGCTCGTGTGCAGTTGACGCCACGGATTTCAGGGGAGTCCTTCACCGTAACCGCATCCGCGTGTATTCCATGGTCACTGTCAGCGGTAAACAGGTCCTGCAACGCCACAAGCCATGCGTGGATGCCATTTTAGGACACGCACATATAAGCCTCGCGCATTCTCATTGGTCCGCTCGCAAAGTCACGTGCACAGTGGATCTCCTCCTTGGAAACGACTAAGTCAGGTGGGTCGCTTGGGCACTCTTGACCAACCAGCGTCCGATGCGGAGGTGCGCTATGTCCGAAGAGGTAATGTACGAAAGGTGTGGCCTGTGCGCAAGCATGATAACGGCAATAGAGGATGAAGGGATGATGGCAAGGCAGTGTCTGGGTGGAGTTGATTGTTTTGGAACGGGGCTACGCGTCTGTTGTTTAAGTGCTGTTGCCTACTGCTCGGGTTTTGTTCTTTCACTCTCATTCACTCACTCACTCACTCACTCACTCACTGCCAAACCTGGGAACACCCCGAGGTCATACTGGACGACACTTCATCTGTTTTTCGTCAGTATCTTCAGCGACTCAAACACAGCCATCTAGAGGCAATCTACGTCCTCGCTCCGTCGTTTCTACTGCCTACGATTGGTCACTTCACCGTTGTTACACACGTCTTGATCCCATCCAGAGTGGCAGAGATCGAAACGCTACCCAACATCCACGGCATCCACACCCTCATCAAACCCTCGAGCAACTACGTCCAGCATCATCCAAGCCATGGCTTTCCCAGTCACAACAGCAATCGTCCTCTTCACTCTCCTCAACACCGCAACCGCCTCTCCCCTCACGAAGCGCGACGCCGGCTACGCGATCCCCGAGGGCGCCATCATCCTCCTCATCCTATTCGGCGCGGGCTTGCTCGTCTGCATGGGCTACGCCATACACAAGACCTTTGGATTCAGAAGAAACCCTAATGAGTTCAGACACATGAGCGCAGAACAACAAGAGTACATGGCCGAGGTGCGGGTCAGGAACATGCAAGGGTTGATGGCGGAGGGAGCGAAGAGTCAAAGGGGTGGTCCAAGGAGGGGGGAGGTTGTCTATGATTAGATAGCAGGGGCTATAAGGTCAGAGAGTTGGAGGCAGGTTGGTGTGAAGATGCGTAAGCATGCATTGGGTATCATGTGTTTGGACTGCCTATCTCTCTTCGGCATACACCGGCGGCCTTTCTCCCCTCTCGTACTTTGGCACAGGATCTCTGTCTTCCACATTGCGTTCGTCTTGTACTACGTCTCCGAAGAAGACATCTGCGACGTCAACCCATAGAATCACTCGCTTCATGCCTGTTCTTGCACATCTTTCTACTTTGCCCATTCTGCCTTCGTTCTTGCCAATCGCGCTGTTTACCGCATGGACTAGAACTTCCTTTCTGATCTCTTCGTAGTCGTGGAACTCCAAGACTACTTGGTCTGCGTACGTGATGTCGGGGTTCGACCATGATGGAAGAGGTGCATTTGGTGTGTACCTAATGGCGAAGAGATGGCGTGTGTATGTGGTGATGATGGTAGGCGGAGATCCCGGTGATGTGTTCTGCCGAATTGGTGTTGCTGTGTGCCTATTTTCTTGTGGTTTGTTAGTACTGCTCCTCATGTCACATGGCCGAATCGGGGTCTGTAGTGCACACTAACCAAATGAAGCCACGCCATCGATGACATCCTGTACCATATCACCAGCCTTCTTCACTCTGGCATCTTGCGGTCCGAAGCCGCCATCCGCCATGGATGTTTCGATTTCAATGCCACGAGGTTCTCTTCGTTGCCTTCGTTTCCTGCGAACGGCTTCGGTTGCCCATATCTCCATCAGCTTCGTCCTCCGGCTTCCACCGCGGTCCTTGCGGTTCATATGTTCGACATCCTCGCGCGATCGTATCTCAGTGATGTATGCCGAGTCTGCGGGGTGGTGATCGACACGGTGACCCCATGCAGCGAAATCACGGGCTATGAAAGGTACAGTCGTCAAGAAAGGGCGAGTGTGTTGTGTAGTGTGGATAAGGTAAACCTTTGCGCCTTGAGACACGGTCGACATGTTTGATATGAGTTCGAGATAATGATTGCAATGTCTGTATCGGAATGACCGTCTTTATACAAAGCTGGATAATGGATGAAGACTTTAGAAAAGACCGAAGAAAATCTATTTTGTTTCATACTCTTACACACAGACAGCGTGTTTGACATGCGTACGACACCACTGCAAGCAGTGCGACCAGCATGTCAAGGCGTCGTGGTCTAAGCTTTTTGCGAAGTGAGGCGTTTCAGCACAGCGCTGGACTTATCTTTGGGCTCTCAAACGGCCATCACGACGTAGCTGAACACGCAACGGCCGCTGCTGGGTGCGCGCGCCACGATAGAAGCCCAAATTGGAGATTGGCTGAAGTGCACGATAGCACATTAACCAAATGTCGGTCTGACATAGCAACAGTGCTGAAATGGCGTGTTGTCGGAGAGGCGAATAGGAGAGGAAGCTGCCCAGCTGCCATGTGTTAGACGTTACTGCGTGCGCTAAACCTTCAGCTTCCTCCAGGGCTGCAGGGTACCCATGGCGCTTCTGTTCTTCCAACGACGAATCCGGAGATGGCTCCTCAGCCTCCTTCCCCGCGTTTACTGAATTGAGGTGCGACAACCAGTCAGCCACGATCGTCCTCTTGTCGCGACTAATGCATCTTTCAGCGTGCATGTAACATAGCGATCTTTTCTGGGACTGCGAAAGCTACCGTTTTCTTGGATTGCGAAAGTTACCGGTTCTAGAATGTTGGCGTGGAATTTGGAATGCCACGCCATTTAGGGCTGTTAGATCGCTAGCACCGCACGGACTCGCCTGGCATCCTTGACATCCTCTTGAATCGCTGCATCACATTTCAATCTTGCCAGGGAAGAGGCTGTCACGACAAGGCTGTCATGTTTCCGCGTTCGACCTGCATATGGGGCGACCTCAACTCAATGGCACGACGACATTCGTGTCTAATGCGCAGAAGTTTATTCGCACGCGCCCAATGGCTACTACGTTCAATATGAATAGAGTGCGCCTTTAACTCAGACTGCGGTCTAGTCCTTCGGGCAGGTCATTGAGATGGTACTTTAGTATACGGTATGATTGCGATAGCTTTGATGAATGGCTACTACGTCCAGCGCAGTGTTTCGGCACAATCACTCTCTCGTAGATTGACACGACCTATGATCTCCGATCCCTTCACATTGCGCATTACACGCGACCTCTCTTCACAGAGTTCACACATCATGTTTGCTGCAAGCACTTACCAAAGCTCGCGCTCCTCATGCAGCACGCACCCCAGTACCCATGCACACCACCCCTACCACAATGCTCACCTACATCCACCATCCAGCAGGCCCAGTCGTAATCCGCACAACATACTCCTCCATCGCACTCTGCTACCAGAAACGCGGCTGGCTAACTACATCATCGTTTGCCCAAGTCCTACGCGACCACCCAGAATGGCAGTCCACGCCCGTCTTGCCCACCTCTATTACTTCGACTCCGTCTACTGAGCCTGGAGAAAGCATATTCGCACGTATCGCTTCCACAGTACTATCCTCACTCAGCGCCACGATAGCCGTAGTACCAAGTTATGCACCCACAGGAGTGCGGAGTATCGTGCCTCTATTTGTAGGTGAGGTTGGAGATGATATAGATCGAGAGAAGCGGGAGGAATTTGTCAATAATGGAGGGCCGATACATTGGATGACGGCGGTAGAACGAACCTGGTATCGAGATCACGGCTTGCCTGTTCCGACAACAGGCTGGCTAAAGTGCAGTCGAAGGTGTGAAGCGATTGAGCATAGACTTGAGAGCGGCGAACTCGACATTGATGTTTCACCACCAGGGTACGAGGCAGCCATAAGCATACGCTAGGATGCATGTCGATCGATGACGCAGGATGCTGTGACTAGAGAACGACGGCCATGAATAGTACATGAGCATTCTAATCGTATTGTTGGCACTATGGTATCTCGCGAGCTGAAGACAGCTAAAAGGAAAAGAGCGTTTGGTATCTTTTGGACGTCACCCACACATGCAATAAATCATCCTTTCCTCGTACGAAAGTACCATCCCAATATTACGCCTTGGTATCCGGTCATTCCATCCTTCTCTTTGTACAAATAAACACATTACCCCATGTATATACTTGGCACTCGTGTTCTCGAGCACCTATCTTATGTACTCTTCGCTTCTTCTGGCCATCCTACAGATCCGCACTCTTGGGATTCACCAGGTAAATGTCAGGTACCTTTGGCACCTGGGGACTCTTTTGTAATGCCAGTTTGATCGCGTCTCTTGTCTTGGCTCCTTCCTTGTTGTCCCCACCGCCGCCAGTCAGTCGCCTCATGCCGCTCCTAAAACGACTTCGCGTATCGTGAGCGACAGGTTTGATAATGTTCTCCAGACTAAAGGTCCCGGCTTTGTCTGTGCTGTTCGAACGACCAGCCGAGTACTCGTCGTCGGAGAACGGCTCGTTTTGTTCGTCAAGAGTGGTGGACGAGAGTGAAGGTGAAATGCGCTGTGGTTGGTTTGGAGCAGATGGCGACGTCACTGATCGGGCATGTAAATTAGGGCGGGGGTGGCTTGTTGGGGGTAAGGTACTCGAAGAAGAGTTGGCAAAGGAGCTGAAAGCGCCCGGGGTCATGACACCAGGGTCCCTAGCCGGGGAGAGCTTGACATCAGAGATGAACCCCGACTGAAATGATGTAACGGATGCGTTCCGCGTAAGAGATTTGTGCAGGATAGGCGCCGTTTGCTGATCGTATAGATTCTCACGCATATCGTGAGCAAACGATCCATTCGCGTAACGCCCCGAGGACGAGAAGTTTGGTAGGTCTGTCAACGTCTCGGCGTCATCATCATCCTCAAAGAAGTCGTCCAAGCTGTCTAGTTTCATGACCAGTTCACCAATGTGACTATCGCCCCGAGTATCTTCTGAAGTCATGGTCGCTGTTCGGTGGTAGTCGGATAACGGGCTGAACGGGAATTCTTCTTGGCGGAATTCTACTTTGGGTGTCTCGGTGTCTGGCACATTCATCTCACCGAAATTTCCGCAGGTGTAGAAGACAGCGTGGACGTTGGCCCTCGTCAACTGCGAGTGCAGGGCGGGGATCGGAATTGACCAGCCGCTTTCTTCAGGGATACCGTACAATGACTGCGTTTTCTCGAACTGTTTCTTGTACCCTCTGGTGGAGTGAGAACCTGCCATACTCATTCGAATATGCTGCTTGTCGAACGGCGTAAGAGTACTAGTCATGTTGAGATTGATGACGAAGTCCAGAACCCTCAGAGCTTGAGGGCAATACGCACTCTGTAGTAGTCGTAGAAGAGGCGAGAAAAGATCGGATCCTTTGGAGGCCATCTCCGGCTTGCGCATATCGATCTCGGGTAACAGGACGCAGAGGACTTCCATTGTGTTGATCTTCATCCAATCGATATTGTTCATCAAGAGACCGAGCAGGAACACGAGGCTGCCGAACTCATGTTCTGGGAAGAATGTTGAGCGGATAGCGGACATTGTCTGCGCGAGAAAATCCTTCTCTTGACGATACCTCTTCATTGCGAAGGCTGTCAACGCTTCGGACAGCGATGTGCATTGGTAGTGCTGATCGGCAACCTTTGCAAGCACTTCGGCGGTGGCTCGAACACTAGAATCTTTTGCTGTAGAGTCGAACGAGCGTAGGAATCTTGGCAGATTCGCGAGGATGGCGTACATTAGTCGGCTATCATCGCCCACGATGCGGCTGGAAGGTAGGACCACCAATCTCTCCAAGATTCGTAAAGATCGGTCCAGACATGTGCTCGACCGGATACCCTTGTACGTCAGTTGAGCAAGGCCTTCGAACTTGCCTTCCCATTTATCCGGGCAACTTTCTTCCAGGATTGCCAGCACCTCTTCGTCGCCCAGATCAAGCTTGTCGAGGAACTTGTCTAGCATCAGCAGGCTCTCCATGAATTCGCCTTCGTGTATGGTATCCAAGCATGCGCAAGTGGTCCAGAACAATTGAGGGTACTGTATGAGGTCGTCCGGTGCTAGTGCTTCGATGATCGTTCGTAACGTCGTAAGTATTTCCATAGAGAATGTCTGTATATCGCTCTCCTCGTCTGATAT